AGGTCCGGCTCCGCTCCACCGTGGCCGCCGCGCGCTGGGTGGCCTTGGGCAGGTGCCCTGGGAGGCCCCGCGGGGAAGCCAGGGTCCCCGTCTGTCCCTGGTTCGCCGGGGGCGCCGCCGGCCCCAGCTTCTGCAAGGGTCAGCCCCGTGCGTTCCTGCCTCCCGGGGTCTGGGGGCGGCAGACACATCCGATTTGGCCAGGTTGGTGGGGGAAGCTGTGGCCTGATCCTTGACAAGAATTTCCCCAGCAGCTCCTCCCATAGGGACCCAAAGCAAGTGTCATGTGTGTGGGGATGGAGGCATTCACACCTGTGAGAAGCGGTGGCCACCCCCAAAAGGGACGGCTGAAGTGTGGCCGCAGCACCTGAGCAGGGTGGGCTCTGGACAAGGTGCGTGAGGGCCTGACTTGGTAGTGGTGGTGGTGGGGTGTTCCTGGGAATCAGTTCCCAGTTCAGAAGTGGAGCTGCCCTGGGAGGCCAAGAGGCCAGGAGAGGGCTCCTTGCAGAAGCTTTGGCAGGGCCTCAAAGTAGGGGTAGGGGAGGGAAAGGGAAGGCATTCTTCAGCCTCTCTTCCTGGAGCCCCCTTTCTGACAACAGATCAAACCGTTCACTGAGTGGGGGCTCAAGCTGCCCTGTCCCTAGGGAGGGCGACTCAGGGAAGATTCTCAGGGATTCACCTGCCATCCTCATGGGCTAGTAGCCCCCACAAGAAGAAGCCCCCACGGCTTTCAGAGAAGCCCCCACGGCTCAGAAGGAAGCTGAATGAGAGCATCCTGGAGGTGGACTTTTTGGGCAGGGAGGAGGAGATGGTGAAGGAGGTTTTGGTGTGGTGGGTCAAACAACGGGAAGTCTTTTTCCTTTGGCCTGCCAACCTGGATGGGCATGAGGGAAGCCACCCTTTCAAGTGGGAGAATGGGGTTGGTTGTCTGAGAATAAGTGCACTTTCATCCCCACAGCAAGACCTTCTTGGGGTCACTTGGTTACTTGTTGAGAAAGAACATTCCTGTTCTCACTTCCACATACGTCCACAGATAATCATTTGGCCAAGTTCACAAACACATGTACACAGACAGACCTATGGATATACAGTGATACACACTGTTATGAGCAGTTGGTACCAGAAGTCCTGGTGGTCACCCCAGTCACACCTATGTACTCATTCCAAATGCCCTCAGCACTCCCATAACTTCTGTGGGCACATGCCAGTGTAGTGGAAACCTCAACCAGCATAGAAGTTGCACAATCTGTGCACTGTGCATTCCCTGGGGAGGCAGAAATCAAGGAAGACTCCCAGATACTTGCCCTTAGTAATCGGCTGAGATAGTGAGGATTGGCAGAGAAGCAGATTTGCAGGAGAAGGTCAAGGGCTCCTTGGTCATGTTCACATGAGATGCAGCGGGTCATCAAAATACAGTGCACAGTTAAATAGGCGGCTGGAGTTCAGAAAAGAGGTCTAAACTGGATAGTTAAATTTGGAAGTCATTAGGTAATAGATGGCATTTAACGCTGGGGAGCAGATGGGATCACTCAGAGAAAAAATGTGGATGAAAACAGCAGGGCCTAACTAATATTTAACATTTGGCAAGCACTTATTATAATACCTGATACTATTCTAAGTGTTTTGTAAGTATAACTCATTTAATCTTCAGCACCCCTAGAAAGTAGTAATATTATCATCCCCGCATTACAAATGAGAAGCAAAGGCACAGAGAAGTAGAGTAACCCTACCTAAGGTCAACAGGCAGAGCTGGAATTGAACAAGGCAGTTTGATTCCAGAGCCAAACCATTAGGCTTTATTACCTTATAAAGCTTTTAAACATTAGGCTATAGTATCTAGTACTGAGTCTAAGCTGTGCCATCAATACAAAAGCCATGAGCCACACATGGCTTTTATGCACTTGAAATGCAGCTGGCCTGTATTGCTGTGTGCAGTGTGAAATACGTACCAGCATTAAAAAAAAAAGTAAAACATCTCATTGGTATTTTTATATTGATTACATGTTGAAATGATGTTTTATATATATTGGATTAAATAAAATATATTACTAAAATTAACTTTATTTATTTTCATTGTAGTTTTCTGTTTTAATATGGCTACGAGAAAAATTTTAATTGTATATGCAACTCCCCTGATATTTCTACTGGGCAGTGCTAATCTGATGCAGGGTTTTTAAACCTTGGCACTATTGACATTTTGGGCCAAATAATTCTTTATTGTGTGGGCCTGTTCTGTGGATTTCAGGATGTTTAACAGCATTCCTGGCCTCTAGCAACTAGATACCGGTAATACCTGCCCCAGTTTTGACCATCGAAAATATCTCCAGATAATACCAAATGTCCCTTGGGGGAGAAATTGCCCCTGGTCGAGAACACTGGTCTAGAGAAATTCCAAGATTTAAAGGTTGAGTAGAAGGGAAAGAGCTGCGAGACAATACTGAGAGAGAACAGCCAGGGAGGTGCAGGAGAGCCAAGTGGGGGTGTGGCAGGAGCCAAGAGTGTTTCAAGGACTTGGTCATGATTCTTTAAAATGTGACTTCCTGCTCAAAACTGTCTACAGGCTTTATATCACATT